GAAAATGATATGATGAATCAAGTGTTATTGATAGCTCTGGTAGCCCTGGTACGGCCGAGAGTGGGGTGAGTCCGCTCTCCCTCTCGAAATACTCTCACACGGCCGCGCGTATACAGCCTCTGCCAGGGAAGTCCTACTCATTGCCTTCTCGTGGCGGGGGTGTTGTTTACGAAAATGAGAGGACGAAAAGAGAATGTCCGGCGGTTTAACCGGATCACAAACCAACGGTGCACATGGGCTCCAGTATCCTGCGGGAACAAATGACGTATGAACCAATCGTTGGTCACCGGCTACCATGGGATTGCATCTCCTTACAATGCTACACTGCCTTGTGGGTTAGACCTTGAGGTCAAAGGCTCGGGGAGTGGCCCCCTAAGATAACCAACTGCTTCGGTCTGGGCACCCGGGCAGTATCACAGCCCACACACAAACGATGAACTCTATGTCTATGGCAACTACTTTTCTCGCTCCGAAAAACAATCAATCGATTCAAATAATTATCATTACTATTATTGTCATTATTAATACTATTATTGTCATTATTATTTTTTTTTCACATTATTCACCCTCTTTTATACTTATACAGCGGCTCGTCTTTGGTGGAAATCCGACTGTATCTAAACGTTCTCGAGTCACTGTCCGGTTGAAAATTGTATGTTACCATCGAATATGAGTACTGAAGCAGTTTTTCTGAAACCACGTGCACCATTCAAACTGGCTGCCTTCAACGTTCGCACACTTATGCAGGTTGGTCAACAGATAGGGCTGGCTATGTCCTTGGAAAGTCTTCATATCGATGACTCCTGTCTATCCGAGACCCGTATTCAAGACTCTGGTGATGTACTACAAATTCGCTCTACATCTGTCACTTCAAAAAGCTTGTTTTACGTGCGCTTATCCGGGGACCCTGTGGCATCTTCGTCTGGTCTTGCTGGCGTTGGTGTCGCACTAAGCGCTAGAGCTGAGGCAGCACTAGTCGATTGGATCCCCATTAACAGTCGGTTATGTGCTGTTAGATTAGAAAGTTCCATCAAAGTGAGAAGAAATCGGCGTGAGAAACGATGTCTTTTCGTCATCTCCGCCTATGCCCCGACAGATCGCAGCCCGGATGAAATTAAGGATGAGTTTTACCACCAGTTATCTGTTCTTCTTCAGAAAGTGCGTTCGACAGATATTGTAGTACTAGCCGGATACTTGAATGCTCAGGTCGGGCGTCTAGGCACAGAATAGGGTCGTTTAGGTGGTCGATGGGGACTCGTTGGTCGCAGGTCAGATAACGGGGACCGTCTACTGCAACTGTGCACAGACCACAACCTGTTTCTGGCCAGCACGAACTTTCGGCACAGTCATTGCCGATGTGCCACCTGGCGTCCTCCCTCTGCATCTCAAGCCTGGACTCAGATTGATCACATCGCGATCAGCTACCGCTGGCGTGGTTGTGTACAAGACTGCCGCTCCTTTTGGAGTACCTATCTGGACTCTGACCATGCTTTGGTCTGCGCCAATCTTGCCTTACTTTTCAGTGGCCAACGAAGTGACCGCCAGCAAAGGATTGATATTAGCAAGCTGGTTGCAACTTCTGTTGCAAATAAGTATCGAACCGAGCTAGCCTCTAGGCTAGCTACCATTCCACCGAAAAGTATAGATGAGCATTGGTTGCAATTGCATGACGCCATGAAAATGGCGGCTACAGTCCGTTGTGGGTTCGCGAAACGTCCCGCTTATAAGCACTGAGTTTTTTTAGGTTCCTTACAACTCATTGAAGCCCGTCGGTCTACTCCGGGTGACCGTGAGTTTGACTACAAACGAAGGATGTTACGTAAGGAAATTGGGCAAAGCTTGCGTAAGAACTGAGAAGCCTGGTGGTCGGAGTGTGCTAATGAGCTGGAAGCAGCAGCTGCATCTGGTAATTAACGGAAGCTCTTCCAACTCATACGAGCCACTGGCAGCAAGAAGTCTGGTGTGAGTGAAACAATCTGCGAGGATGATGGGATGCCAATCACTAACATCCACCGACGTCTTGGACGATGGGCAGAATTTTTCGAGGGGCAGTTCAACTGGCCTGCTGCTCCGACAACATCGGTCACATTGTCCTGCCCTCCAAGGCCAGTGACGACTGCTCCACCAAATGAGGTGGAAGTCCGCAAGGAACTCCAACTCTTGAAGCGCTACAAATCACCTGGCCCAGATGACTTACCTCCGGCTCTTTTGATTAAGGAATTGACAACGTTGTTTAAAAAGGACTGAGAACTAGAGGGTGTACCGAGGTCATGGAATGAGTTCACGTCGTTCCTGTAACAACTATCGGGGGATAAGTCTACTTCCGATTGCGTCCAAGTTATTGGCTTCCATCATACTTCGTAGGTTGTTCAAAACCCGAGAAAGATTGACTCGCGAGGAGCAGGCTGGGTTTCGTTCTGGTCGAGGATGTATTGATCATATCTTCACCCTCCGCCAAATGTTAGAACACCATCATACTTATCAAAGGCCAACAATCGTAGTGTTTCTTGACATCAGGGCTGCCTTCAATTATTGGATAGGACTGTTCTCTGGGATTGTCTATTGAAGAAGGGTGTGCCTGAGAAGTTTATTAACATCCTAAAAGCCCTATATACAAACACCTCAGGCAGAGTGAGGGCATACATCCACCTTTCTCCATTGTTCCATTCGAGCAGTGGGGTTAGGCAGGGTTGCCCAATCTCACCATTCCTCTTCAACTTTGCCATCGATGACATTCTGGAAACAGCTCTGATGAATGTAAGTAATGGTGGTGTGGATCTGTTGCCTGGAGAAAGACTTCTCGACCTTGAGTATGCGAACGATATTGGCTTACTGTGCGATAATGCCCAAGGCATGCAATCTGCACTTAATCAGTTGGCAATCAGTGTCCGTAGGTATGGTATGTGCTTTGCACCTTCGAAGTGCAAAGTACTCCTACAAGACTGGCAGGATTCCAATCCTGTACTCACCCTGGATGGTGAGCAGATAGACGTAATCGAGAAGTTCGTGTATCTGGGTAGCTGCATAAGTGCTGGTGGGGGTGTGAGTGATGAGATTAATGCACGTATAGTGAAAGCCAGAGCGGCTTATGCCAATCTGGGCCATCTTTGGCGCCTTCGTGATGTTAGTCTGGCTGTAAAAGGTCGGATCTACAACGCGTCGGTGAGAGCAGTTTTGTTCTATGCTTGTGAAACCTGGCCTCTCCGAGTTGAGGACGTTAGATGACTGTCTGTGTTCGATCATCGTTGTCTCCGAAGGATTGCTGACATTCAGTGGCAACACCATGTTAGTAATGCAGAGGCTCGGCATCGTGTGTTCGGGCACAGAGATGATAATTCAATTGGTGTTACCATCTTGAAACACCGAATTCGGTGGCTTGGACATGTTCTCCGAATGTCGTCCCAGAGAACTCCACGTCGTGCATTATTTGCCGACTCTGGGACTGGTTGGAAGAAGCGGAGAGGTGGTCAGTGCATGACATGGTGTCGTGGCATGAAAGAAAGCTGCAAAGGACTGGCTTGTGTTGGTCCTTCACGACTCCCTGGTTGGGGTCTGAGAGATGGTGCGACACAGTGGCTAGAGACGTTATCAGATATGGTTCAGAATAGAAGCCAGTGGCAATCCTGCTGTAACCTTCTTTTACTTTCTTCATAAAAAGTGGTTGTGTCTTCCTTAACTGAAAGATTTCTTTCGATTGTACCTTTGCGTTCCCTGATTACTAGCACATTACCTTACACCAATCTCTTCGTTATTGTTCTCTGTTTTTTTTGTTGCGCCCCTTAGCTTTTTTTTTCTTTCTTTGTATTCCTCTCGAATTTTCATTGTTTTGTGTGGCGCATATATATTGGCGCTCTCTGGTACCAATATTCATATGTCCAAATAAATAAATAAAAATAAATTATTGGAACCAATCATTTTTTCATGATTTGCATACAGTGACTAATCTCTTTTCTGTATTTTTATGCCTTCTTTTCTACTTGATGTATTTATAAACTTTTATTGTCTCTTAAATTCATTGCTCCTGAAATACACTCACCTAAGAAACTACAAATTTCACTTATTCATATCTTGATAGTCTTTGATCAAATTCTCTCTTAGTCACAATGACTTGCATTAGTTTAATGTGGAAGACATTTGTAAGCTGTAAGTATGTGACAATATTTATCTTTGAAGTTCTCGTATAAAAATATGGTTGAAGCCTAAGTACGAACCTGTACTACGTTTGTGAGATTAATGTCACATAGCACTACTAAGTCAACATTGAATTCATTACAACAATATCATCATGTGTACTTGTCAAAAGAATTTTTTATGCAACATTTATTTGGTTATGTGTCGAGAGGAATATATTTTACAGACGTACATTTCATAGTTTGAAAGAAAAACTAAGTCGAAATGAACGGTAATAAAATTATAAATTAGCCGGGAGTTAGTGCATTATATAACTAATTCTTACATATGATTAGTGACTCTATTCCCCAGCCTCTTAATTAGTAGAATAATTAATAAAATAAAAGCACAGTTACTTAACTTTGGAAATAGACATTTCACGGTTTGGGAAATCTAAGAAATTATAAAACCTTCAGGTGCATTTTGTGATTATTTTGTATAGTTAACTGTAAATGCCATGGCAAAATTAAATATGAATCATTCATTCTAATCACATCTCACCAATTGTATATCTTCTGTCGGAACAAGATTTAGATATATAAGAGTTTATGCAGGTAAAAAGTGCACAGGCTCCGTACAATAACGTACTTAGCATATATACTACGCAACTAACCAAGAACTGATACTGTAGAATTGGCAGTTTATTCAACGTTGTGAAGATCCTTATTTTCTTATAAAGATTTCATTGTAATGTAATTTTGTCTACCTGTTTTATATATATATTTAACGTCTATCAAGATTGAAACTTGTTAAAACATTGTATGTTGAAAGTCCCAAATTGTATTAAACGTACAATATTGAATAAAGCGATTATTATTTTAAAAACTCACTTTGATCATTAGAATCTACGGAAGGACGTCTCTTTACTTTGGGAGATGATTCAGAAGAGTTAACCACATCATATTCAGAGATCGGATGTCTAAAGAAGAAATTATAAAACCACTCGTGAGGATAGAATTTATGATAATAAACAATTTGTCAAATTATATATTATATATATATATATATATATATATATATATATATATATATATATTCATAAATTAGAATAAAGGCAATTAGATAAAAAAAACGAATGAGGATGAATTTTCAAATGGATATTCATAATTAAAAAGGTAGTTACTTTTCCTTTGAAACAGGAGCAGTAGTATTAGCACTCTCAAGATCTACGTTTGTAAATAGTTCTTCCATAGATAATCGAGTATCATTGGAGTAGTTGGTAGAACTGGGATAAGATCTCAGTACATGGGAACGCTTTCCCTTCATAGAAGTCAAGGTATTTAAATGTATTGGTAAAATATTATCAGAAACTTTTGGTTGAGGGCCATTTGTTATTAAATTTTGACCAGATATTTGCCTGCTAAAACGCCGAATACCAAAGAAAGAGCGCAGTCCATCTAATGCATTACTACGCATATCTTGTTCAGCCGGACAAATATGTATAACATTATTTTGATCTGACGAACTTTCATTTGTTGTATCAGTGGACCAAGGTCTTCTACATTTAAAACAAAACGAACGTCCTTCGCACATTGGATGAAGACAGACAATTTGCGGACAGGCGTGGAAGGAGTGTGCTATCAATCCATAACTGAAATGATAAAATATCAGGTAGTATGAAGAACTAATTAAACATAAAATGGAACCACTTCAAATACCTACTACTGCTACAACTACAAAATATTTTTCTTTTTATTCACAGCTTTTCCAAAGCCTGTTATATGACATAATTAGGACCCTGAAATATGTATATACATCTGTCCTGAGCTGAGTATACGAATTAGGTAGACAGATGTCTAATTGAAACTATAAAACAGTTACAGAAGTTTGACACATTAAATAAATGTGGAAGCCAATCAAGTTAGAGTAAGTTCAGAAAGTATATCGGCTCTTCAAGAATTGGATAATACATATTTTGAGAGGTTATTTTATACTGTATGAGGATAATATTAAATACAGTGATAAATTGTATACAGAAATAGACCATTTGATTCTGTAAAAGCAAAAGCTTTTTGATTTTTTAGATGTTTGTCTTTTAATATTTTCGTGTGAGTTTTATCCTTTGTGGATTTATTTATGCACTATGATACTAATGACTAGGATTGTGAGCTCCTTTTCTATTAATTGGATGTAAAATATTATTGTTGAGAGTAGACAGTAACAAATACTGGGTCGTTAATGACTTTTAACTCAATCATGTGTGGTGAGATCATAGATTGTACAATTATAGAATTGAGAACCGATTACCAACTAAAAGTAGGTAAGTTTGTTAGAGAAATTGTGAACATTTTATTGAGATGATTAGGATGTGATACATACAGCGAATTATCGACTACGTCAGTGTTATGTAAACTGGATGGAGGGTGGGATTGAGGGCTTAAGGTGGTTAGAAAAGAAATGTTGTATGTTGATTGAAACCATGGACAAAAACACAGGCTTTATGGTTAGCGGTTGAAGTTAATAGGAAATGGATGGCTAGTTATATGTATTACTAGTAAGATATAGTTATAATGATTCATATACATTTTCATTTTTGATAATATCGAAAGAATTATTATTTCGAACACTGTATATTGTCTCCCACATCCTCACTAGTGTTGTCACTACTTTTGTCTCATTAGTTTTTCTCTGAATAATACGATGTGCTGCAATTCGGATATATAAGTAAATGTTTCACACCGTTTCTGTTGTTAATGAATATTTTAGTCTGCGCTATTTACGTTACGGTTCGACGAACGATTCGTGAATTAAAGACTATTAAAATGAATGAACAGAGTTCTGATCAAGCGATAACAGACTCAGTGGCAATGTGGGTGTGATAAAGACCATTAATTGTTGTGGCAAAGACATTTTACCAATTTTATTCCATTCTCGCTACAATCCTACGTTAACTTATTGATTTTACATGGTGTTTCGATTGCACAAATATTGTATATATATATATATATATATATATATATATATATATATATATATATATATATATATATATATATACGATTATACTGATTAATAATAAGTTGAAAATCGATCCTTTTGCTGAATTTCGTGTTTTTTAATGTATAAATAAGGATCATAAATCAATCGACTGATAAATGATTACCATGCCGAATCATTGACACCGACTCCCGAATGATTTGATAGCAAAGACAAGATCATTAGCCGGAATGGGCTTTCTATCTGCAAAAATAATATGCTTATATACAAAATATTTAACATGAGAATAAACATGATCAGAAGTCCATTGAAACATTAACGATTGGAAGATACTATCAGACTTAATTTTTGCATAATATACTAGTTCATGAGATGTAAACTGTCTTTTTTTCGAATGCTTTGAACTACTTAAGTTTCGAATTCCAAAAACAATCGTCTATCCCTAAATGGATTATATCCGAGACGTTTTTTTCGCTAATGTGAGATGAAATAGTATCTTTAAAGTTAATAAGTCGTGGTTACGTGAGCATTAAAGACATCTTAAAATAGAGGAAACTAAATCCAGGAACTGGATTCCCTTTGGTCACAAAGAATTATTTCCGTGATAGGTAGTTTGATGTATGAAACTAACGAACTGGAGACTTATTAACTATGCTCTGAGCTACATATTTGATGAACTAGATATACTATTTGGCCATTTGGACTGAAGTAGAGTGACCAAATTCAAACATAATGAATAAGTAGAGTGAAAAATGTTGAGTTATAACGTAGCAGTGAACGAGTGCAGCCTTAACTTCCGATCAACGACCAATTAGTATGTAAAAAATGACATATTTGATGAGTTTCCCCATTAAAAAAAGACGAAGGTACACGTAATGTGCATAGTCTACTACACATAATACTCATAGTTTCAAAATGAGAATGTCATACTATGCTAATATTTACGTGTTCATGCAGAATTGTAAATTTTAAAAATGAGGGGACGAAAAACCATCATCTCTATGGAGAGTATAGCTGGATTCAACAGTAAAAAATGTAGCACTTACCCACAACCTCTTGGGCACCATCTCGCTTCTGGTTCACAGGACATTGCTTGTTGAAGTAAAAATTCTTCATATCGAGATAAACTGCGGTCATACTGATTATCTTTTACGGGATTTTGTGAAGACTCATGACGAGTCGAAACAGCAGACAAGAGATGAATCACAGTTGATGGCTGCAATAGTTCTGAGCACGCTACACATGTGAGATGAGCCAGTGCAAAGTTTTCTATTTGACACGAGATGAAATTCCTCCAACAAACTGAACAAGCGAAGTGACCGCATGAACTAAGTCGCAGTGGATCTTCTATAGGCATCAAACAAACTGGGCATTCAGTTTCATTTTCGGAAAATGAGGTAAGCTCATTACGTTTTTTTACTTGTGGGTGGGAATCTGAAAAGAAGTAAAGATACTAGAAAACAGAAACTGAATATTCTTTATCTAGCGCTTATTGAGGATGTAGGTTAGAATAAGAGAATCACATGGAAATAAGCCACTTAGACTACGTGGTTTAATAAGTATACAAAAATGGTTCCATTTGCGAAGCAATCAAATGAGTGAATTGTACACGAAAATACTCATATAAATAATTACTGAGATGAATGTTATAACTATATTCAATTCACAAGTTACTACAATAGCGAAGTTTCGTAATTAAATTCAGGAAAAATGCAACCCATTCGACAATTACGGATTCATAAACAAAATATGATAAACTTATTCATCAGGCGCGTGGGTTTGAATCATACTCAAAGTGAAGGATGATAATACTACTAGCCAGTTGTCCAAAGCAGAGTAAATGGAGTGGTGTTCGAATCTGGCCGAAAGTCTAACCCACCCTGGCGTGACTGAGAAGAAAAATCTAATATCATCGAATATTATTGTGAGCAAATTGCTGGAGTCAATCGACCCTGACACCAAAATTGGACACGCATAATTTAGAGAAGCTGGGAGAATATATTCATAGTATCTTACCAGATAACTCTAAGAGAGTTCAGGTCAAAAAACTGGTTAGAATAGATAAGAGGACAGAGGAAAATGTTGAACCCCGACCATGCAGATTCCTTAAGGTAATCCTAGGATCGGCGAAGCAACGGGATCTCCTATTAAGTAGCGCTCGTTGTCACGACAATTCCAAAGTCCGAGTTAGACCTGATATGTCTCTCAAAGATAGAATAAAAAGGGAAAAAAGCACTAGCTGAACTAGAAACCCATCGACAAAACGGTGAGGAAGATCTCCGGTTAGTGGGTTTTTGGATAGTCAGGTCTTGGAAGCGAATACTACCAAGACCTGTGTGGATAGGCTGTTCTACCTAGGAGTTTTATATGCCAACGCTCGTAGTATAAGTTCTATAAACTAGAAACATTAGTGGACAGATTAAGGCCACTCATCGTAGCAGTGACAGAAACTTGGTTAGTCCATGACTCGGACTTAGCTTAGCTGATGACTTTATTTTAAAGCACACTCATCTTTGGAGTGCAAATACTAGATGCTTGATAATAGGAGACTTTAATGCACCTGATATTAGTTGGACTGAGATGACCACGGAAGGATCTATAAACTCCTTTGATAGTAGGTTCCTGATAACAGTAATGGAGCACGCATTAGTGCAGCATGCATCCAAACCCACACGTTTTGGTGCTAACCAAGGTTCTTCTCTGTTGGACTTGGTAATCACTCATGAAACTCAGGGTTGGTTGGGCCACGTGTTACGTATGCCCAAACACCAATTACCACGACATGCAATGCTAACGGGTGTTCGGGATGGTTGGAAGAAAGTTAGGGGCGGCCAAACCAAAACGTGGCATCAGTGCTTGAAGTCACTAACTTCTAGTCTGAACCATGTTGGTAAGTGCAAACCACTTGGTTGGGGTCCGCGTGACTATCGTAACCAATGGTTAGAGACTTGGTGACATGACTCAGAATCGATCACAATGGAGTCGGTGTATACACTCTCTGTCTTCCCTTAAACCGTGAGATTAAAATTACTTTATACCTTTCTTTCTACCAACTAATTCTTTCTTCCTGTGCAGTTTATTAACACTTGATCGCTAGTGTCTTTGAGGCACTTGTGGTGTATTTTTGGACACCGAGTAAGCAGCAATGAGGTTAAGCTCAGAACACGAGATAAGGATAGAAAATCGGTCGATAAAGTTGTGAGTCTTCACTAACTGGGATAGTTGAAACACATACTATGCCTAACCGCTGCATATCTTGAAGGACAATGTTGTTCGATGTGCAACGTCGATCAACGATTCAGAACCGGTCAAAATGTAGTAGGTACATTTAATCTTTGTTCTTCCTTAAAACTTAAGTCTCAAAATCTCCTTATACATTTTCACCTTTCTATAACTAGGCTTTTTATTAGTAATAACTCTGTGACTACTCATGTTGCTCTGCGATTTGTCTTGATCGTGTTATCTCGCTGTGCTAATATGATACAACTTGAAATGATGTATATGACCCAGGCTCTACGTTACATGTGAATGACTTGCTAACTTTTCCTTTTACGTCTAACCACGAATACGATTGTAGAGTTATTATCTTTGTTCTATGTATGCCTCCCATTAAATTACAAGCATCTACTTTACATACATAATTAGTGATTGAAAACTGACCCTCTGAGTAACAACATTGTCAAAATCCATCTAAACACTTGCTCTAATTATGAAAAACGAGTTATTTTATATTGATACGCTAAGGAAGCCTGATTTTAATTCGATAAATACCACTTGTTATTTTGATAGTGTTTCAACCGTAAGTTTATCTGTCACTTGTCTTACCTGACATCGAAGCAGAATGTACAAAGAAGTGATAAACAAATTTTTCGTATTATTCGCAAATCGATTAAAAAAACTGATGACTTGGATAGTGAGAAGTAGGAAAGGATAGAGATAAAAATATCTTGGAAATCAATATAGGCAATTTAGTAAATTGATGTGAGACATTGTGAATTCAGGTACGTTTGTCACCAGGAGCAGCGAACAGGTGAGAATGTTTAATTAGTTCTTCTTACAATGATTTAGAAGTCAAAGCGAGCCAGTAATTAGGGACCACGACCAACAGCTGTCTCTTTGCAGCCAAGGGTTATAGGAAAATCTGAACTTAGAGGAAAGCATTTACCAATGTTCATGTAACACTTGTACGACAGGTGTGTATACTAAAAATCCTACTTTGGAATGAGACCTAGATTTACTGGTAATGGCTTAGAGAAAAAACATATGCGGAATCTCTAAGGCGATTAGGTTGACCTACAGAAAAGTCCTTGAATAGTTACTTTTCAAATCATACTATTGTAGACTACGCAGATGCCAAACTTGGCTGCAAACGCAATGAAAACTGGCATAATTTGTCCTCTATTTTTCTTATAAACAAGTAGACTTTAGTTGATAGCAGAACATCAATGACGAACATCTAGTTGAAGTATATCTTGCATTAAGTAACTACATGTCTGGGTCCACTGGAATTAGTAGACTGCGCTTTTGGTTAATGCGTGGAGAGGATAAATAGATATCGAAGCCATTTGAAGGAAGTTCGAAAACCGAGATCAAATCGTCTACGTTTGGAGTTTTGTTTCTCGCACCGAGTAGTAAATTACTGAAATTCCCTACCAGAACACGTGATATTAGCACCTTCGTGATTGGACCTCCACAGTGTTACAAACTGCAAGGAATAATATAGGTCGACAGACCTCCTATCCTTATTACTGAAGACTGACTCGTAGTCAAGATAGAAGTATGTAGATGGGTCTTAAAGGGATTTGTCGGGATTATATGAAGTTGAAACTTTTTCTGCTCTGCCCCTCATGAAACGAAAGACTGATAGAAGCCCCATAACTAGTTTGGAAAACTGAAGGATTCTGAGGGACACTTCAACTTTTCAGTAATAAGGATAGGAATTTTATCCACCTATATTATTCCTTGCAGTTTGTAATACTGTGGAGGTCCAATCTCGTTTTGAATATATCAACAGGTGCTGGTATCACGTGTTCTGGTAGGGAATTTCAGTAATTCACTACTCGGTGCGAGAAACGAAACTCCAGACGTAAACGATTTGATCTCGGTTTCTGAACCTTCTTCGAATGTCCTCTCAAATGATCAGTCCTAGACGAAAGTAAAAGATAAGACATGGTAATACCAAGGTCATCATTCAGTATACGATAAGCCAATACTAGATCACCCCGTATTCTACGGTAAGATAACGGAAATAAGTTAAGGTGTCTCAGTCTGTCTTCATAAGATAGGCGAGATAAACCTTGTACCATCTTAGTACCTCGTCGTTGGACTCTTTCCAACATATCTGCTTCATACTTGAAACAAGGACTCGCTGCTTGAATCCCATATTCTAAATGTGGTCGCACGTACATCGGGTATAGTAATCTAAACATTTCATCTAAATACTGGAAAGACCTGCGAATAGACCGTAATACCCTATAGCCTTTCGCAGCAGCAGCCTTACAGTGACTAGTGGTTTTGAGATCACTGCTTAATATGACTCCTAAATCTTTATAGTTTTTTACTTTGGGTAGCACGAATCCACATATTGTGTAGTGATACGATTCATCATAGTTATTTAATTGCATCACCATATTCTTATTAGGATTTACTTCTAGTGACCACCTGCCCAACCATGCCACCAATGAGCTAAGATCATCCTGTAATACTATCCTATCCGACATACTGTATGTGGGTCTCCAAATTTATATGTCATCAGCGAAGAGTAGAACGGATGATTCTGCTACAGTTTGTAATTCATTTACATAAAGTAAAAAGAGAAGAGGACCGAGGATTGTACCTTAGGGAACTCCACTTTTTACAGGTACCCACGGGGAGAGAGCCCCATTTACCCTTACCCTTTATCTCCTGTCATGGAGAAAGTTACTTATCCAATCTACGACTGTATAATGGATTCCAAAACGTTCCAGTTTAAATTTAAGACCAGAGTTGGAGACCTTATCGAAGGCCTTACTTAGATCTATGAAGATTACATCCACAGGAATATTCCGATCTTTTGCAGCAGCCTAATTTTCTATTGCAATGAGAAGATTTGTCAAGCATGATAGGCCTCTCCGAAAACCATGTTGTTCCCTGGAGAAAAGATTATACCCTTCAACATAGTTTATAACAGATATCCGAATAATTTTTTCCATCAGTTTTACAACTGCACTAGTTAAGCTAACGGGTTTATAGTTAATAACTAAATCCCTCCTCCCAGCCTAATACACCGGACTTAGCGTCTTTCCAGTCTCCCGGCAGTCTGGACTGCCTCAGAGACATGTCAGACAGTACCGCTAACGGTTCAGCAATTACATCCGATATGGCTTTCATAATCCTAGGATGAATATCATCAGGAACACTAGACTTATCAGGTTTGAGATGCTGAAGTAGCCTTAAAGCAGTACCTTTTTCAATGACTACAAGGTCCATCAGCGAGCCGCCACAATCACAATGAATCGTTAATCGTTCCTCATTACTGATAGAAAACACTCCGATGAGGCTTCAGCTTTTTCGGTATCATTTTCTGCCAAGATCAACGGATTTTCTTGTATCAAAAATGATGGAATTCCGTCGCTTCTTTGAGTTCGCCTTTTTATATACGAGAATAACCGTTTCGGACTATATCTAGAAACTTTAACCAATGGTTTTTCATATGATCGTCTAGTCTTACTTATTAACGTTTTACAGGCATTCCTGATCGTACAATAACTGGATCTGTATTGTTATGAGCTAGTAGAGATGAACGTATTCCAGTGCTTCTCCCTTCTTCTAAGAAGTTTCCTGATTGTTTTAGTTCTCCATGGTGGACTGTTATTCGGTCTTCGCGATACCAGGTATGGTATGAACGAGGATCTAACTAAACTAAACTTACTTTTAAATACTATTATCTACAAACCAATCTGTCTTAGCAGCGCATTTCTGAATGGCTGATATGTTAGCTATCCATACATTTGGGCGGGGTGTAACCTGATCGTATTACATGTCCCTAGTTCTAAACGTGAGTGACAAAACAGCGTGATCGCTATTCACTAACGGTGGAAGAATACTTAGGTCGACAATACCGTGAGTCCGTCAGTCAGCTACAACATAGGACCAGGCACATATATGCATCGACCCAAGTTGCCATACCTCGTTAGCATAACAAGATGAACATTAAATTCATAGAAGTAGTTAATTCAGTGGTGGTAATATATAAAAGAAAGATTGCATATAAGGATACAGTACATATAGAAAGAATTAGCTGGTAGAAAGAAAGGTATAAAGTAATTTTAATCTCACGGTTTAAGGGAAGACAGAGAGTGTATACACCGACTCCATTGTGATCGATTCTGAGTCATGTCACCAAGTCTCTAACCATTGGTTACGATAGTCACGCGGACCCCAACCAAGTGGTTTGCACTTACCAACATGGTTCAGACTAGAAGTTAGTGACTTCAAGCACTGATGCCACGTTTTGGTTTGGCCGCCCCTAACTTTCTTCCAACCATCCCGAACACCCGTTAGCATTGCATGTCGTGGTAATTGGTGTTTGGGCATACGTAACACGTGGCCCAACCAACCCTGAGTTTCATGAGTGATTACCAAGTCCAACAGAGAAGAACCTTGGTTAGCACCAAAACGTGTGGGTTTGGATGCATGCTGCACTAATGCGTGCTCCATTACTGTTATCAGGAACCTACTATCAAAGGAGTTTATAGATCCTTCCGTGGTCATCTCAGTCCAACTAATATCAGGTGCATTAAAGTCTCCTATTATCAAGCATCTAGTATTTGCACTCCAAAGATGAGTGTGCTTTAAAATAAAGTCATCAGCTAAGCTAAGTCCGAGTCATGGACTAACCAAGTTTCTGTCACTGCTACGATGAGTGGCCTTAATCTGTCCACTAATGTTTCTAGTTTATAGAACTTATACTACGAGCGTTGGCATATAAAACTCCTAGGTAGAACAGCCTATCCACACAGGTCTTGGTAGTATTCGCTTCCAAGACCTGACTATCCAAAAACCCACTAACCGGAGATCTTCCTCACCGTTTTGTCGATGGGTTTCTAGTTCAGCTAGTGCTTTTTTCCCTTTTTATTCTATCTTTGAGAGACATATCAGGTCGGCGAGACTCTAATTTAGCGAGGAGCCAATCAGAAGCGTTTGAGCAATTTCAAGGTCACGGAGCCAAGTTCAACACGCGATGCTAACATACGGTCGGTTCACAGCGGATTTTAGAGAGGTGATTAATGAGAGGTTAAAACATATGGGATGGCGAAACTCTTATTTAGGGACGAGCCAATGAGGAGCGTTTGAGCAATTTCAATTATTAGCCAATCAGAAGACAGTATAAAGTGAAAATATATATTACAAAAAGTAATGAATTACAGTGGATATTCTTCTTTTACATGATTTAAAAATTTGTTGAGGATAGATAAAGGCTCAGAAATTCTGAATTCATAATGCATATTGTATAGAAACTCGTCCATAGGGTTAGGGTTTGGGGACCTCCACAGTATTACAAACTGCAAGGATTAATATAGGTCGACAGACCTCCTATCCTTATTACTGAAGACTGAAGGGTTAATGGTTAGGGTTAGATTAGGGTTTAGGGCTAAGGTTAGGGTTTGGGGTTAGATTAGGGTTTAGGGTTAGGTTAAGGTTTAGGGTTAGATTAGGGTTTAGGGCTAAGGTTAGGGTTTTGGGTTAGATTAGGGTTTAGGGCTAAGTTCAGGGTTTGGGGTTTGATTAGGGTTTAGGACTAAGGTTAGGGTTTGGTTGGGTTTAGATTAGGGTTAAGGGTTAGATTAAGGTTTAGGGTTAGGTTAGATTAGGGTTTAACGTTAGGGTTTAGGGTTAGGTTAGGATTAGGGTGCTAACATGCGATCGGTTAACATCGGATTTTAGAGAAGAGGTGTCTATTGACAGGCTACAACCCTAACCACTAACCCTATAGACGAGTTTCTATACAATATGCATTATGAATTCAGAGCCTCTGAACCTTTATCAAACCTTAACAAGTTTTTAAATCATGTAAAAGAAGAATATCCACTGTAATTCATTACTTACTTACAATATATTCTCACTTTATACTAACTGTCTTCTGATTGGCTAATAATTATCAAGGTCATTTAAGATTCGTTCAAAGGTCGTCGCTAAATTAGAGTCTCGCCATCAGGTCTAACTCGGACTTTGGGATTGTCGTGACAACGAGCGCTACTTAATAGGAGATCCCGTTGCTTCGCCGATCCTAGGATTACCTTAAGGAATCTGCATGGTCGGGGTTCAACATTTTCCTCTGTCCTCTTATCTATTCTAACCAGTTTTTTGACCTGAACTCTCTTAGAGTTATCTGGTAAGATACTATGAATATATTCTCCCAGCTTCTCTAAATTATGCGTGTCCAATTTTGGTGTCAGGGTCGATTGACTCCAGCAATTTGCTCACAATAATATTCGATGATATTAGATTTTTCTTCTCAGTCACGCCAGGTTGGGTTTCTCGCTTACTATCAAATTCGGGAAGTGCATTTTTTAACTCACAATGGGAGTCCACCAATGACTTGCTAACCAGCTGGATCTGTGATAATAAAGTGGTGTCCAGCTATAACCTCGTTTGCGTAAAGTAAATCATGTGGAAACGGAAAACAATAACAGGAAAAATGCGTCGTTTTCAAAGTTAAAATATTCATAGACAACGTAGTATGTATGCAAAATTAGTGCTGAGAACGAAAGAACAATATATATATTCGTCTTAAGCTTGCATCCTTAATAAAATAAGTCGAAAATATTTTCTTACCAGGTAGGACGCGTTTAAACCATAAGCTTATACGGCTACCTTTCTTCCCAGAAGGATATTTAGATGACATTTACCTCCCACCTAATATTTCCAGTCCAAACCTGGCGCTAAATAAATTTTGGGGCGAAAGGTTTTACAGTAGTTTAGAAAAATAAATTCACAATAACTAAAAACAGCTTGTCAGTAACAATCATTTAGTAATAAGTCTCAGAGGACCAAAACAATCATATATGCTCCATGAGGAATACGTTGTGAAGTGAAGAATAACGCTGGATTCGTTGCAAACAGACTTTCTTACAATCCCAGACAACCCGAAAGGGGAAATAAAGGGGTAAATGCTTTGGTGATGATAGGGGAAATAAAGGAGAAAACGCGCCAGAATGTCGCCTTTTTCTCCTGTCCGGGGGAAATAAGGCGGATTTTCCCCTTTTTCGCCGTTTTGTCGACAAATTACCGACTTATCGCCTAAATTATCCCATTTTCGCCTAAATATCCGCTGAATTTTCGAATTTTCACCTAAACATCCGCCGAATTGCCTACTTTCTGCCTAAATATCCGCTGAATTGTCTACTTTTCTCCTAAATACACACATACCCCCCTATTTTCCATCCATTGACAGAACCCCAAAGGTCTCCTATGTTCGCCATTATTTTCAACAACAGACCAAAATATATCTGCATTGCAGTGAATAAGCGGTTAAATAGTTGTATATACAACTATTTAACTTGACATAACTTCTAGGTCCTTTATATTTTTATCTGAATGTGAATCTAAGCTCTTAGGTGATTCGGCTTACAAAATCTATTGGTTTCATTAAACCTGCTCCCATCGAATTTTGATCAGCTGACATTCTTTACTCGACTCGCCTTGCAGTATAGTGCACACGTATGTTTACGTCGTGATTATTTACACTGACGCATCGACTCATTCTATGAAGATCACTTCAAGGTTGTGAATCGTGATCCAGGAACTGCACCTCTTAAATAAGCGGAACTGGAGATAAATTTAAAATAGACTAAGTAAGGCTGAGGACCTAGAAAGCAGACTATTAGTAGCCTAATTACACGTTTTCTCTACGAATTTTAGTAATTGTACATTTTTGGTTTGCTTTTACGCAATAGTAATGTTTAGAAATACTCCACGAGCTTACACTGATTGTTAACTCTGTTCGCGAAACATACCATTTCGATTCGTTGATTGCGTGATATCATAGAAAACTTTTACATACATTACAGTGTAGTCTTTCTTACTACGTTTGTAGTTCTTTCAGTAGATCTAAGTGATGTTGATAAACAGGAAGTTTGTACAACGCAAAAGATGTAGTTAAATGTCGCACAATTGGACGCTGTTATATCGCTTGTGCAGATATGTCTTATATGTCAACCGTTCACTTGTAATCCCAAGTATTTTTGTTTTAGTACGTGTGTTCATATGTTTGTTTGTCACTTACACCATTCGTCTTTAACTCGTTGTTATCTGTCTAACTACAAGTGCTAAGTCATGTTCGATGAATTTGAGTAGTCTGTGAAGCCTTTCACCATATCATCACTCTTACAGCCTTCCTGAACACATGAGTGTCTGAAATAGATTACTCCAACAGAATTTGTAATTGGCGTTTTTGTCACCGTTACCAAATGTGGTTAGCCTAAGTACAGTCCATGAAATTAAGAGTAGAATTTATATTTCGCAATTGATTTAGCCATATTCACAATTGAGTGAACGCGTCACATGGACCTCCGGGGACAGATTACGTACGTATACCGCAACTGCTGAGAATCGATATGTTATGGTAGAACCATGGATTTCTTCTGGAACATCTAAAAAGATACTTTAGGTGAGGTGTCTTAGTCAGATTTTTTCTAGTTTTTTGCGTTCTACGGCATACTAGTTACCTTCTTAGTCTCTGCAACTTTCAAGTTCGACAATCTGTTCGCCCAATAATATGCAGAAAGGTGGAATTTCATCGACCTAGTTTGAGGACATGATGCAATAGGCTACTTAGTTCAACCTTGAGACTAACAGATGCGTGAGTTTGATTGTGACTGAAAACACTTGAGGAGGAGAGAAAAACACTAGATCACCGACCTACACTCTGATAGAATGTCAAACGAAAGGGATAAAGATCGATCGGTTTCAACTTTTACCCGATATGTTCCTGATTTAGATTTACTCGAAAAACCACACAAATACATATATGACTAACAAGACCACCACTCCGCCTTGAGTCCCTCCGGAAGCTACTGCCAATTTCAAGCCCGGATAAAGGAGGGGGTTGTGCATGTGGTTAGCGAACCCCTCCTGTAGAAAACTAACTTTCTAAAAAATGCTACCAAGGATCATCAAAGCCTCCTTCAAAACAAAGAAAGAGGAAATAACAATAAACGTCATCCAATGCTATGCGCCTACCAACGACTACAATGAATACGCTAAAGATCAGTCCTACAATAAGCTGCAGTCAATCGTTGAGAAATGCCCAACAAAGGACCTGACCATTCTGGTAGGATATTTCAATGCCAAGGTTGGAATGGACAACACCGAATATGAAGACATGATGGGACGACACGGACTGGGAGAAAGAAACAAAAATGGTGAGAGATTTGCAAATCTATGTGCCTTCAATAAGCTGGTCATAGGCGGCACCATATTACCACATAAACACATACACAAAACCACATGGACTTCACTGGATCACACCACGCAGAACCAAATCGACCATATTTGCATCAACAAAACGTTCATGAGGACTATAGAGGACGTGAGAACCAAGAGAGGAGCTGATATAGCATCAGATCATCACTTGCTGGTCGCCAAGATGAAATTGAAACTCAAGAAGCACTGGACAACGGGGCGGACAATATCACAATAGTTCAATACGACTGAAGATGGACCAAGTATTCAGAGCTTGACATCGCTTTAACCAGTAACACCTAATATAAAGCGTACCCACCATGTGAAATAAAAAGACGGAAGCGAGGAGGTTCGAAGATATATTTGATAGGCTATCAAAATATTGAGGACCGACCGATCTAATTTGGCTAGCGATTTCAGTGGATATTGAGCACGACGTTCTCACTTGTGACCTGTTACGGATGCATGACCGGGCGCCTTCTGCTAGGTGAGTCCATTAAAACTAACGTGGTCAGCATCCAATGTCGAAGACTTACAGAGCCTTTTATTTTAGGGATTTATTTACCGCTGCACGGCCTTTCTTCGGGATACTGACAAACTTAACAAATTCAAGGTAGTCTTCAGCAATAAGTTCGAGGCCTTTCATGATCTACTCAATGGAAAAGGAACTACTATGGAGAGCAACTGGAAGGGGATCAAAGAAGCAATCACTTCAACATGCCATGAGGT